TTAGTAATTTAGGGTCTAGGGTTTAGAAGTTTAGGGTAGATGGTATGGCATGTTGTAGTGCTTTTACGTTTTTTTTGTTCAGGGTCTATGGTCTACTTTGCGCAGGGTGGTTGTACATGTCTTACATGTCCGCTGCTGTTGTGATGATTGAAGCCTAAACCCAAAACCCTAAACCGAAAGCTTGTGTTATAGCTTGTGTGTATCTATTCGGGTGTTATCAGGTTCTCAAGGCCTTGGGGGGTCGCAGGGTTTGAAGGTTTGGGGGTCTCAGGGTTTCGTTTGTTTTGATGGCTCAGGCGCTGAAACTGGTAGCCCAAACCATAAACACCAAACCCCAAGCCCTAAACCCTTCGAGGTCCTCCTTAACTCTGGGCGTAAGCTTGAACCCCGACACCTAAGTCCCGAAATGCTGAACTAGGCCCATAATTGCCATGAGCCCAGTAGCCTCTGCTGACAGACGGGTCTGGGGTTGAAAATTTGGGACTGAGGGACAGCGCACAGTTGTAGCGGTGCAGTTGAGTTAAGGGATAGGGGCTACCCGGGTGGAGGATCCGCAACATTCCCAACCGCTACACGCAGAGGGAGCTCATGCAGGAGTTGGAGGAGCGTTTGTGGTCACCGCTTCTGGTCTTAGGGTGTCAACTGGGAAGCTAGGTGCTCTTGTTCTTGAAGGTTCGGTACAGGCAATTCGGGCTTTATAAGGGTGTTGCAAGGGTTTATCGTGGTTTACGGGCTTTAGCAGGTCGGAGGGGATGAAGCATAGAATAGAGAGAATCCGAATAGGAACCTCTGGCCGCTTCGGCCGGGGCGGCGAATTAAGGCCCCTACATGAATCATGCGAGTCCGTTCTGGCCCTCATGCAGTCAGCGAATGATCTGACCGAATCAGGGTCAGGTCTCATGGTCTATGGCTTGTTTAGGTTTCAAAGTTCAGGGAAACCCTAAACCCTGAACCTCAAAACCCTACAGCCCTAAACTCTAGACCCTAAAACCGTAGAGCCCTTAACGCACCAGAGCCCGAAACGCAAATCCCAAAAGCTAGACCGAAAACCCTTAGCCCTAGACCCGGCACCCAAAGCCTTCCCAGGACTTTAAACCACTAAATCCCCAAAACTAAAGGGTTTAGGGTTTAGGGTTTAGGGTTTATAGGGTGTAGGGTGTAGGGTTTAGGGTTTAGGGTTTATAGGGTGTAGGGTTTAGGGTTTAGGGTTTATAGGGTGTAGGAATCCCAAAGAGGAGATGGGCTTCGCTAACAAGTTTGACTTCCTCTACAGCCCGCTGGACAAAGGCGGGCCCTGGAAGGGAATAGATGACGGGGTGTTAATGTAGGAGCCTTAATATGAATTAACTATACCATTTTTGGGGTTCCTTGTTATAGTTATTAAACTACAATATGCCAAAAAGCTTGTTCCAATGATTAAGGCCTCTACATTATGTGGTTCATGTAAAGAGTTTGCTGAGGCTTTAAGATAGGGTTGCTAATTGTGGCCCCTAAACCCTAAACCCCAAACCCTAAACCCCTAAACCCTACACCCTAAACCCCTAAACCCTAAACCCTAAACCGTGGGGTTCTTGATGGGTGGGATCCCTCCTTGGGTTTAGGGCTTTGGTGTGTGTGTGTGTGTGCTATCGTTGTAGGTTCAAAGATCATCAGGGACTCCAGTGCCCCTTAATTAAGGAACATACCTTAAATTATAGTAGGATCCCGAATAGATTTAAGGTATGTTCCTTAATTAAGGGGTATTGGAGTCTCTGGGATCATCAGGGGCTGAGTCTGAGGCCTCTGCATGAGGCTTTGAGACTGCCAGAAAGGCGCTTCTCCCAGAGCTTCTACACCCTAAACTCTAAAGCCCTAAACCCAAAACTCTAAAGCCCTGAACCCTGAACACTAAAGCCCTAAAACCTAAACCCTAAACTCTAAACCCTAAAGCCTTAAACCCTAAACCCTGAACCCGAAGCCCTAAACCCAAACCTCAAACCCTAAACCCTGAACGCTTAGCCTCAAACCCTAAAGGCCTGCAACAGGCCCCCTGGCCCCAGTTCCTCTTTCCGAGTCCCGCACGAAACCCTCGAGCCTAAATCCCAAACCTTACACCACTACATTCATGTTCCCACACTAAGCCCTAAACCCTAAACCCTATAACCCTAAACCCTAAACGCTAAACCCTAAACCCTAAACCCCAAACCCCCCAAATGACCCCAAAACCCGAAGCCCTCGGAGCCCTTGGAGGAACCATGTCCAACGTGGGCTACGCCTTCGTGAATTTCAAGACCGCGCAGTGGGCCTCGCAGTGCACCCTCGCCTTTTTTGGGTGACGGGGTTTGGGGTTTAGGGTTTAGGGGTTTAGGGTTTTAGGGTTGAGGGTTTAGGGTTTAGGGTTGAGGGTCTGGGGTTTTAGGGTTTAGGGTCTAGGGTTTTGGGGTTGAGGGTCTAGGGTTTTAGGGTTTGGGGTCTAGGGTTTAGGGTTTTAGGGTTGAGGGTCTAGGGTTTTAGGGTTTTAGGGTTGAGGGTCTAGGGTCTTAGGGTTTATGGTCTAGGGTTTTAGGGGTTTAGTGTTTAGGGTTTAGGTTTTAGGGTCTAGGGTTTAGGGTTTAGGGTTTAGGGTTTAGGGTCTAGGGTCTAGCGTCTAGAGTTTAGGGTTTAGGGTTTAGGGTGCCGGGTTTAGGGGCGACCGTGGTTTTAAGAGGTCTTGGCCGGCTGATAAGGGCTTTTCAAGGCAAGAGCTGGGAGGGTCTAGGGTTTAGGAGCATTAGGAGCATTAGGAGCATTAGGGTTTTAGGGTTTAGGGTTTATTTAGGGTTTAGAAGCATTGGGGTTTTGAGATTCAAGTCTGAGGATTTGATTTAGGGTTGTATTGCTAAGGACTTGGTTTAGGACCTACCCAGGCTCTAGGGGCCTGAATAAGTACCTATAATATTCTGGGGGTTCCTTATTATACTTAGAGTATATTGGGCCCCAAAACCCTATTCTACTTATTAAGGCCTCTACACCCTAAACCCTTATAGTAGCCCTTATAGAACCCTTTAAAGTAATCCCTTACAAGCAGACCCTATTCTAATTATTAGGGCCCCTACACTCAGTCGGTTTCAGGATTCGGGCTACGCGGGTCAAGCCTCTTGGGATCCCTGCCCTGGGAAGTGGTTTTAGTACATATTACCTTTAAGCCCCTAAACCCTAAACCCTAAACCCTAAACCGCTGAACCCTAAACTGAATTAGGGTTTGGGGTTGAGGGTTTACCCTCAACTTCTGAATAACCTTAAGCTAGTCAGACACCTTCGCTTGCTACTTCACTGGATTACTGAACCTTCGACCCCACATCCTGAATCCCGGCCCCTTGGAAACCTGGGAACTTTTAGACTTCAAACTTTAATTTCATAACACAAACTAAAGAAAGGGGCCGTAAGACATAGAATAGGGTTTGGGGGTCTATCCTAGGGACCAGAAGTGGATCTCATGAGGACGTTTAGGGTTGAGGGGTTAGGGAATCCGTATATCCCTATACCGTTAGAGGTAGAGTTTTGAAGCAGTTGCGTTTTGGGGGAAGCAGAGTTACCATGCCCACATCTTTGTCAAGCCCCCGAAGCGCTCAAGCCCCAAACTTGTAGAACATCTGCGGGCAACAGATGTAGATCCCTTATGGGACCATTGAAAAAACACGTTGTAGAATTCTGACCTACAAAACCATATAGAATCTTATGGACTAGAAACCCTCGTGCCCTCTTTCTACCCAGCTCCGGCCAAAGACGTAGGTGACTGGATGGTTTTGAAAACCTCCGGGTTTGGGATTTATGTCCTGGTCTGATACTTCGGAACAAGATCCCCTTGCAGTCCCTATGTAATTACAGCATAGTACACCCAAACACCCTGTTCAAACTATTCATTCCATTTTTGGGAGGGTTTAGGGCTCAGGGCCACATACCCTCAACCCCAAGCCCTAAACCCGAAGCCTTAAAGCGCACACCCTAAGGTTTAAGCCCTGAGCCCTCAATCCCGAAGCCCTTATAGCAACCTTATCGCAGGTCTCTCGTAACCCTTGCACAGTCGTACACCAACCCTTAGGGTTTCGTTTCAGTAGCGCTTCTGGTAACTTTGTAGTAACCCCTGTAATATAGGGGCCTTAATAATTAGAATAGGGTTTGGGGTATAGTATACTTTTATTTTAATGAGGAACCCCCAAAACCTTATTCTAATTTTTAAGGCCCCTACTTTTGGTAACTTTCCAATCACCTTGCAGCAACCCCTACAGTGGCCTTTGTCGTTGAGCCCTAAACCCCAAAACCCTAAACCCAAAACCCCCAAACCCTAAACCCAAAACCCCTAAACCCTAAACCCAAAACCCCTACACCCTAAACCCAAAACCCCTAAACCCCTAAACCCAAACCCCTAAATTAAAACCCTAAAAACCCTAAAACCCCTAAACCCCCTAAAACCCCTAAACCCTAAACCCTAAACCCCTAAAC